CTGTTAACTGGATGGTCAGTGGTTCAAACCCACCAGCCACTCTGAGGAAGGAAGACTGGGCAATCTATTTTTCCATATAAAGCTTTATAGCCTCAGAAACTCATTGGGGGTCACTATGAGTCAGAAACAACTCAATGGCAGTGAGTTTGGTTTAATTTTTGTTGTTGTTGTTGTTTGGTTATACTGCAAAACTTGGAAACAAAGAAGAAACATCAGTAGTTAGAAAATATGGCCTTGGTGATAGAAATGACACCGGAACCTGCATGATAGAACTTTATAAGACCAATGACTTATTCATTGCAAATACCTTTTTTCAACAACATAAATGTTGACTATACGTGTGGACTTCATCAGATGGAATATATAGGAATCATGATGACTACATCTGTGGAGAGAGGTGATGGAAAAACTAGATGTCATCAGGTAGAACGAGACCAGGACCTGATTGTAGAACAGACCATCAATTGCTCATATGCAAGTTCAAGTTGAAGCTGAAGAAAATTCAAACAATTCCATGAAAGCCAAAATATGACTTTGATTATATCCCACATGAATTTTGAGACCATCTAAGGAATAGACATGACACATTGACCATCAATGACCAAAAACCAGATGAATTGTGGGATGACATCAAGAACATCATATATCCAGAAAGCAAAAAGGTCATTAAAAAGACAGGAAAGGAAGAAAAGGCCAAAATGGATGTCAGAAGAAACTCTGAAACTTGCCCTTGAATGGAGAGTAGCTAAAGCAAATGGAAGAAATTACAAGATAAAAGAGCTGAACAGAAGATTTCAAAGATCTTGAGCAGACAAAGTCAATTACTATAATGAAATGTGCAAAGATCTGGAGTTAAAAAAACGAAAGGGAAGAGCACACTCGGCAATTCTCAAGCTGAAAGAATTGAAGAAAAAAATCAAGCCTTGAATTGTAATACTGAATGATTCTATGGGCAAAATATTGAATGATGCAGGAAGCATCCAAAAGTAGATGGAAAGACTACAAAGAATGACTACAAAAAAGAATCGGTCAGTGTTCAATTATTTCAAGAGGTGGCATTGGATCAAGAACCAATGGTATTGAAGGAAGAAAAGTCAAAGCTGTACTGAAGGAATTGATGAAAAAATAAGGCTCCAGAAATTGACAGAATATCCACTGAGATGTTTCATCAAGTGGATGCTGTGCTAGAGTCACTTACTCATCTATGCCAAGAAATTTGGAAGAGTTACCTGGCCAACTGACTAGAAGAAATCCATATTTTTACCCATTCCAAAGAAAGGTGATCCCACAGAATGTGGAAATTATCAAACAATATCATTAATATTACACCCAAGTAAAATTTTGCTGAAGATAATTCACAAAAGGTTGCAGTGCCTAACAACAACATACAGATATAAGAAGCTCTGGTGTCATAGTGGTTAAAGCATTTGGCTGCTAAACAAAAGTTCAGCAGTTTGAACCCAACAGCCACTCTGCAGGAGAAAGGTGGGGCAGTCTGCTCTGTAAAGATTTATAGTCTTGGAAACCCTGTGGGGCAATTCTACTCTATCTTATACAATTGCTATGAGTCACAATCAACTTAATAGCAATTGGTTGATATACAGATATAATAGATGTAAATAACCTTAAGAATCCTAGGCTAATTAATATAGGTGGTCCCTGACTTACAAGAGGTTTCTGTTCTGCCAACTCTGTAATAAGTTGGTTCTGATCAAAATTGAATACAGTATTTTTTTTAAGTTCTCATTATGATTGCCTTTTATTATCAGTGTCTTTATAAATCCAAGCAGCTCTAGTAGTACAATAGTTAAAGCATTCAGCTGTTAACCAAAAGGTTAGCAATTCAAACCCAACAGCCAATCCACTAAAGAGAGATTCAAATTCATAATGACCCTGTGGAACAGAGTAGAACTGCCCCACAGGGTTTCCAAGGCTATAAATATATGGACACTGACTACCTCCTTCTCTCCAGCCCTCTTAACCTTATCAATTTAGCTTAACCTATCAACTTAGCTCTTATCAACTTAGCTGCTTATTTTATGAGCACCATTGATTCAGTTTCTTCTGGCTTTCTTCTGCACTACCATTTAGCACTTAGAATAGCTTTAGACTTAGCACACACATAAAAAGCAACATCCTATAATTCCTTGAGTTTGGAGCAGATAAGCAGACTGCAAACATTAACAGTTTCATAGTAACCAGATAAAACTTACAGTGATAATGACAGGTATTTAGGGAGATGCCTAGTTCTTAACGGTGAATATTGACTAGCAAAAGGGTATAAGCCATAAGGTATTCATGTAATTAATAATTTTAGGAGAAAATCAAAACAAACGTTAAAGTTCTTTTTTTTCTCTTTGTCAAATGTTAAGTATCTATGAACAATGCTTATAGATTTGTCTTTTATAATTTAATTTTCCATATACACACACACATATAACACATACAGTTAAAAGATGAATTTATTGGATTTCTTGCCCAATAGCCAAAGTGTTTGTGTTTTACCCATTTGTGCCACTCATTATTTTTCTCCTTCCCATCCTTTGCCTCCATCCCAATCCCATCAGAGTGTAGAGAAATATATCCAGCTGATCTTAAATGCAAACACTGGCTATCCCAGAGTTTTTGGATGTGAAAGTGAGTTGAAATAGCAGAAGCTCAGAGCCGTGAGACAGTGAATGACTAGGCCACAAGGACAGCACCATCCTCATGCTGCAGAGATTGGAGTCAGGGAAGGAGCTGCGTGAGGAGAAACCTGACCAGAAGCAAAGGCTGGGAAAAGGTGATTGGGCACAGTGGGAGTTCCCAATGTCCAGAAGTCAAATGGTGGTAGGCAATGAAAAGAGAAGAGCAGAAGGAAAGTTCAGCTGATTGTGAAACTTGAGCTCAGGATTTTGAGATTAGGGCAGAAAGAAGATGGTGGTTAAAATGGTTCACCTTCTGCACAAAAGATGTCTAGGAGTTAATCATGCTTATCCTAGAGAATGTGGCACCTACATTGTGAGGCTGGCGGTTAGTTGGTGTTTTTGTCACCTTCCTGTTGTTTCATCAACATTCTGGGGCCAGAGCCCCTGTTTCTAACAGTATAACCTAGAGGGAAGTGTTCCCTCCATCCTTGGTCTCCATCCTAATCTTTATCTCCATTCAGAGCAGTTTGGTATTAAGCACATTCAAATGTACACCTCAGAGGAGGTTTTACCATCCCACACTCTCCACACTCTACGCACTTCCTGAATCTGTGAATTCCTCAGTGGCCTAGTAGGGAAATAACCGTGGAAAATGCTCCCACCATTATCTATACTCCAACACATCTGTCCAGCCCTACTCACGTTAGCCTTTGGGAAAGTGGGGTCACAGATGAAGTAAGAGGGCACAGGAAACCAAAAGTCAAACTTAAACTATTTCATAATTTCACCCATGCCTGCCTGGTTACCTTCAAATATATGCAAATGTATTTAAAACCATGCATAGCCACCGTGCTTAAAGATTCTATGGTCCTAGTCATGCCACAAGGCGCCCTGGTGGTGTAATGCCTAAGACATTTGACTGCTAGCTAGAAGGTTAGTAGTTCAAACCCACCAGCCACTCTGTAGGAGGGAGACAGGGCAACCTATTTCTATAAAGATTTACCCTCTTGGAAATCCAATGAGAGTCACGATGGTTTGGAATCCACTCGATGGCAGTGAGTTTGGGTTGTTTTTTTTTTGTTTGTTTTAGCCATACCATAGAAAGTAGTTGCACCTGAAATGCCTGTGTCTTTAATCCAAGGGAGGACTTTAGGTCCACGTACGCATCCATCTACATCCCCTTGTATGCCACAGCCACTAATCCGAAATGCAAACTAACACACCAAAACAATAGTGTAAATATGAGATCTACACTCTTAAATTACCTAGATTCTGGAATGGTAAAAAATATAAAATGTCAACCACTTAGGGTGTTTCTAGTCTGGATTTGTTGTCAGTTTCCTAGTATACATATAACTAGATATGACCATACTGAAGCCTCATGTTGTTGTTGTTGTTATGTGCCGTGGAGTCGGATCCGACTCACAGTGTAGATCAATTGTCCTGTTCACTAAATATGAATGAAAATAATATTGTATGAAAGGAGATTAAAAGATGCCAAATCGGCCTACAGCACCAGTGCTCAACCATAGTTGGCTATCATCTTTTCAGAAGGTGTTTGATTGGGTTTTCCCCCGTGTTTTCCAATCCCCATTTAGTTGCCTTGGGGAAGGAAGTCACCTGAGAGATTCATCCAGAAGTTTCATCTCCCTGGCTCATGTTGTGAATGCCAGTAGACATAGAGCTATTAGAGTGTCTTAGTAAAGAAGACAGCACCGTCTGACTTAGAAGCCTATTGGGATTGGTTGTGTAGTGCCTACGGCATTTGACTGCTGACCAGAAAGATGGAGGTTCAAGCCCACCAGCCAGGAAGGAAGATTGGGCAATCTACTTCCATAGTGATACCGTGTGGGAAACCAAATGCGAGGTTACTATGAGTCAAGTGGACTCCACGGCAGTGAGTTTGGTTTGGTTTTGGTGATAGTCTTTATGATGTGGAGGTATGTTTTCATAAGACACTCTAGGAAAGTGCTCCCACATACCTTTAAAAAAAAAAAAAAAACTAGTAAACAAACAAAATCTCCCTGATCATGGTGTCACAGAAACACAGTTCTCCAGCACGCGAAAAGCGCTGAGGCTGCCTTTAAATACTTCCGCACCTGCACCCCCTCCGAGTCCCCCGCCCGCTCCACACTCCAAACTGGCCGAAACCTCTTGCCATTCCAACCAATCAACGTTCAACAGGCCCTCCTGCCGCGCGTCTTTCAAAGGCCTACTAGGAACCAATGAGCGGTTAAGGAAGCGAACTAGGACTCCTGGAGGCGGAGTAAGAGACTGGGGAAGACTCTGATTGGTTCTTCCAAGACGCCGCTCCCCACCTCACAAAACGATGTACCAATGAGGGAGGGCCGGCTCGGCGCGAGGGAGTTGCTAAGGCGCTGGTGCTAGCGGAGGGAGGCCGCTGCCGGTCGCGGTGTGGGACGGCCAGCGATGAAGCCGGTGAGTTGGGCAGGGCCAAGTTTTGGAGGCGCAAAGTCGTGAGAACAGGAGAGGACCCGGAGGCCAGTTCTGGGGCTGGATGGCTGCGCAGGCCTGGTCATGGCCCGACTGCACAGTAACCGTCCTGTGGGTCGGGAAGGTGGCTCTTCCTGGGACAGGCCAAGAGGAATGAGACCCCGAGGACAGGTTCGGTGGCGGACTAAGGAAAGGTGGACATTCACTGTGCGCCTGCTGTGAGCTGTTCCATGCGAGTTCTCATAAGCCTCATGGCAGCCCTTCCAGAGAGAGCTAAACCCCGTATTACGGAGGAAACGGAGGGGCGTGGAGAGCTTCAGTGGCCAGTGTTTGTTTCATAGCCCAGCCCCAGAGTATGTCTCGGCTCTGCTCTGCACGCACCGAGCAGCAGCCCTCACCCAGGATGGGGAAGACTGGCAATACGATTGCCACACCCTGTCACCATCTTGTCGACCCACCTGGCACTTCGCCTCTTTCCCTGGGGTTCAAAATCACTGATACTGGGGAGCAGAATCGTTCAACTCTTGTTATTAAGATTTTTCAACCAGGTTGAGAAGAGCCTGGGGGAATGGGCTACAGAAATCGAAAATCTTGAGTCATCAAAACTGCATTAAAAAAAAAAGAAGAAGGAAAGAACAGAAACAGTCAAGGCAGCTGAAGCCACACCAGACTCCTGACCCCCATTACCTACCACCAGGGTTGACAGCTTCTTGAAGGGTCTTCGTTTGGATTAGGTTGATTATAACACTATATCAAAACCAAACAAACTTCACTGCCCTGGGGTCGATTTCTATAGTGATGGTATCACTATGGAAGTAGATTGCCCAGCCTCCCTTCCGAGGAATGGCTGGTGGATTTGAACCTCCAGCCTTCTGGTTAGTAGTCAAATGCCTTAGGCACTATGCCACCAGAGTTCCTATAACACTATATAGATAGATCTAAAGCAATTCAAATCCATAACCTAAATTGGTTCTGTAATGTGGTCTTCTAGTGACACTCCTCGGAAAGAAGGTTAGGCAATCTACTTGCGTAGTGATACCGCCTCGGAAACCCAAAGAGGGGTCACTATGAGTCAGATACGACTCCACAGCAGTGAGTTTGTTTTTTTTTTTTTTGGTTTAGTGACAAACAGGACGGTTAAGGACTATGGCTTCAGAGTTAGAAAGGCTGTTAGGTGGTTACACTTGCTAATCATGTTTCCATGTGGAAGAATGTCAGCTGTCCTTCACTCCTGGCCTCTCTCTCCACCCTTCATTCACTTGTCTGTGGGAGGGAAAAAGTGACTAAATGATCCCTGAGTTTGGGAGGACCTGAACACATGTAGCTCAATCCTTTCTCCTCTTCTCTCTTGGGATCTACCTTCCTACCTGCCTACAGAGGGCGTCTTCTGATCTGCTCCCTACCACACAGCGTGGTTCACCACTTCCATGATTGGGTGGATACGTCTCTTACTGGAGTGAAGAATTGGCAAACCCAACTGGCCATAGTTTTAAAGCCACATCATCCATTTAGCACCCAGCAATAAAAATAATATTTTGATTCCGACAAGCGAGTGGGTAAAAAGTGTGTTATTTTATTGAACCTTTAAAACTCCAACAGGGAGTATAGCAATATTCTAGCTATGCTGCCTACAAGACTGAATTCCAGCTCAAATGAGATCTATCTCAATCTCTCCAGTCCAGTGATTCACCTGTACTCCCCTGACCAAGCTCCTGTGCTGCAGGTGGATTGTTTTTTGAGCAATGGGGAGGGTAAAACAATTTCTCTAGCTTCATCTCCTGTTCCACCTCTGCTCCAGTATTGCAGTTCCTGAGTACACAGACCCTCGTACTTCTCCTTGTCCCTTAATTTCTTCGCCATCTGCCTAGAAACCTCCTGCTCATTTTCCACACTCTAGCTGAAACATCTCTGGGAAGCTTTCTCTAGGCGGGCAGTTGTTCCCCTCTCTGCTCCACAGCATAGTTTATGCTTCTATTTTAGTACTTACACCTACCTTTCTTCTACAACCTGTGTATACATCTGTCCCTCCAATTATACTGACCAAAACCAAGCCAAACTCACTACCAACAAGTCCATTCTGACTCATGTTGTTGTTGTTGTTGTTGTTATGTGCTGTCGAGTCGGACCCAACTCATAGCGACCCCTCCTTGGGTTTCTGAGGCAGTATCACTACAGAAGTAGATTGCACCATCTTCCTTCTGAGGAGTGGCTGGTGAGTTTGAACTGTTACCTCTGGTTAGCAGTCAAATGTCTTAGGCACTATGCCACCAGAGTACATTATCTGAAGGATCTTTGCATCCCCTGAGCTTGGCAAATGGAAGGTGCCCAAGAAATGTTTGAATGAATGCATAAATCTCCTCACTTTATAGCTGAGGAATACCGAGATCCAGAATAAACTGACCCAGAATTGACTTGTCCGAGATTATATAGTAAGTAGTAGAGCCGGGACCAGAAATGCCAGGTTTCTTGGTTCCCAATCGAACTCTCTTTCCTCTACACAGAGCTACAATTATTAATAAGGTGGGAAGTAGCAGTCATTTATTATTGATAGTGCTGATCTCTGATATTCCAGACTGATAACTAAATAAATAGCAAATACATTCCATGTATGTTTAAGCAAGGACCAGCTATACTAAGATATATGTCAATATTCTTCTTTACGGTTATTTAACATAAGTGATTTCTTTTTGAAGCCTAGTTCATTGCAAAAAAGTGAGTTTGACTCATCAGACGAAGAACCCATTGAAGATGAACAGACTCCAATTCAGATATCATGGTAAGTTAACAGTCCTGATCAATGACAAGCCAAAATAGATATGTGTGCATCATAATCTTTGTAGAATATAATCCACATATTGAAAACATTTATTGATTCTCTTCTGCTAATTATATCATTTTACTCTTTAAGGGATCTTCTAACTCCATAATTTATTTACTATGATATGAAATAGGTTTTTTTTTTTTTAATCTTCTTTAAACATTGAGAAAACCATTGTTGTTGTTATGTGCCGTCAAGTCAAACCCGACTCATAGTGACCCCAAGGCAGTATCACTACAGAAGTAGGATTGCCCAGTCTTCCTTCCAGGGAGTGGCTGGTGAGTTTGAACTGTTACCTCTGGTTAGCAGTCAAATGTCTTAGGCACTATGCCACCAGAGTACATTATCTGAAGGATCTTTGCATCCCCTGAGCTTGGCAAATGGAAGGTGCCCAAGAAATGTTTGAATGAATGCATAAATCTCCTCACTTTATAGCTGAGGAATACCGAGATCCAGAATAAACTGACCCAGAATTGACTTGTCCGAGATTATATAGTAAGTAGTAGAGCCGGGACCAGAAATGCCAGGTTTCTTGGTTCCCAATCGAACTCTCTTTCCTCTACACAGAGCTACAATTATTAATAAGGTGGGAAGTAGCAGTCATTTATTATTGATAGTGCTGATCTCTGATATTCCAGACTGATAACTAAATAAATAGCAAATACATTCCATGTATGTTTAAGCAAGGACCAGCTATACTAAGAT